CCCCCCCCCTCCAGGTGCCCCCACCACTCCCCTTTCCCATCCACCTGCCCCCAGGGTCTATCGGCGCCCTTTGCAGGTCCCATTTCACTCCCTCGTGCATTCCCCCTCCCCCCATCTTAGTCCCTCCCCCACCCAGGTGCCCCCACTACTCTGTCCCTAGGGTCTCTCAGCGCCCCCTGCAGGTGCCCGTATACTTTCCCCCCTATCCGTCCCCCGTGTGCCCCTTGCAGGTGGCCCCCATTTCCGCTCCATATCTATCCGGGTCTCAGCTCCCCCTGAGGGTGCCCCTCCCCATCCAACTCCCCCATCGTCCCTTGGATCGTCCCTCTCCCCTGGCTCCGCCCCTTGCACGCTGAGCCCCTCTTTCCCGCCCAGCCCAGCGCCTGCGCGCTGCCGCATTGACCCTCCATCCAAGCGGCCTGCGAGCTGCAGGCGGTAGCTGGCTGCACACGGCTCGCTGCTGGCTCCAGGCGGAGGCCGCCCCGCGTCGAGACGGGGTGGGCTTGGCGCCCAGGCCACGCCTCCCGGGTGAGGGGCCGCCCCGGGGGCTGGACGCCAGGCCCCTCCGGGACACAGGCTGGTGCCACGTGGGCGTGGGCGGGCGGGGCTGGGGGCTAGGCGTGGAGGGCCGGGGTCGGGTGGGACCGGGAGTGGGGGCGCCCCAAACGCCGAGGGTGTGCGTGCCCGGGGCTGAAGCTCCGCCGAGATTGCATGGGCTCCAGGCCCAAAGTGCACACGGCACAGACAGCGCTCGATCTGGATGTGCCTGGGGGTGGAAAGTTTGCTCAGCCCCCCCCTCCCCCAACCTTGCACATGCATTTGCTGAAAGCCCGCTCAGACCCGAGCTTTCTAGGCCTAGCGGCGTGCACGGCCCCGGACCCTGCTAAGCGCCCCCCCCCCCCTTTGCTAGGCCTGGAACGTGCATTTGCCAAAAGCCGACTTCAGGCCCAACCCCGTGGGTTCTAGAATCTTCTGGACTAATGCCGGCTTTAGCGTAAACCCTGTTTAGGCTCAGCCCCTTCCAGACCTAGGCTGAATCAACTTAGTCCTGACTCGTAGGCCAGGACCTTGGCATGCCTTGATCGAACCGCTCTGTGCCCTACCAAGACGGCTCGCTTCTTTCTTACACAGGCCACGTCACGATGGCAGGGACTGAGCTCTCCGTCCCTTCTGAGCAGTTTACCAAAATCAAAGCATGGGAGTTGATGCCACCAAAAACCCTGGAAGTGGTGCAGGAAGAGGGAGCGTGCAGAGGGAGGGAACACCTGGGCCCCGGAAATGTGGAGGCCCAGGGCACCTATGGGCTCCTCGAGGCCAAGATGCTGGAGGGGGAGCGGGGGCTGGTGCTCACCACGGAGGAGACCGAGAAGCACATCGTGACCCTGCAGACGGTGCACTTTTCCTCCGAAGACGTGCAGCTACAGGACGTCGGCTGGCTGACACCGCAGGGCTGGGAAGGGGTGCAGGGGGCGGTCCGGCAGGCCAGCGGCAGGGAGCAGTCTCTGCTGTGGCTGGACGAGGGGTCCCAGCAGTGCGTGGCCATTAGCATCCAGGAAGACGCGTACACTTTGCAAGAGCTGGAGGTGATGCAGCTTCACGTTCTGGAGGGCAGTGTGGCCGCGGCCAGCGAAGACACCAAGTTTGTGGTGAGCTTGGCCGAAAGCACCGGGTGGGTCAAGGTACGGCCAGTTTTAATAAACAGACCCTGTACATAGAGGAAAAACTCCCAGCGGCTTTTCTTTTTTTGTGGTTGTTTTTTAAAAAGTGGCTCTTGGTGCGGTATTAGGTATGGACAAGCAGTTTAAAAATCACACTTTAAAATTAAGCACGATAAAAATAATGCCTTGGGAAGATCTTGGGAGACCTTATGTTCTTTTCTTTCTTTTTCTTTTTTTGCTTTAATGTTTATTTTTGAGAGCGAGAGAGAGAATGTGGGGAGGGGCAGAGAGAGAGGGAGACACAGAATCCGAAGCAGGCTTCAGGCCCCCGCGCTGTCAGCACAGAACCCGATGCAGGGCTCGAACCCACGAACTGTGAGATTGTGACCTGAGCCGAAGTTGGGTCGGTCGCTCAATCGACTGAGCCACCCAGGTGCCCCCTTCATGTTCTTTTCTAAGAGCTTAAATAATCAGATTAGAATACTACAGGGTGCTGTGCGTGTGTTTTGTTTTGTTTTGTTTTAAAATTGTGTGACATTTTATTACCAAAACCCTGATGTTTAGTAGTTATGGCTTAAGCATTTTGGTTGCACTGAATAATCTGTGCTGCTTTAGTTTTTTGTTCTTCTTTACGTATTCTGCGGTTTCGTCACGTCAAAGAGTTTTATCGATTGTCATCGAGAGTATAGTATTTGTGTGAATACTCATTTTTGTTTATCAGCTTGAGAAAGGTCAGGGGGAGGACCAGCCGTCTGCTGAAGGAGGGTTCCGCGCCCAGACCCAGGAGCGGTTCTTTCTCGTGGAAGCCAAGCCTGGAGACGAAGGAAGTGACGAAATTGTTCTGACAATTTCAAACTTAAACGTGGGAGAACAGGAAGACAGACCTGCCTCCGGTCAAGGCCATGTTGAAAAAGCCAACTCTACAAACAATCAGAAAAAGGCAAAGGGTAGGCCGGTTCGTTTAGCGTAAGAGACCCTGTGTCCCAGGGGGGCTGCGCTTTTCCTTCAGGGGAACGGGATGGGGGTTGAAATTTTATGGGGTCGCCTTTCGGTTGCCTTCCAAAATGTCAGGAAACGGCAGAAAATTTAAGCTAATGGTCTGTATGGGGAATCGAACCCCAAAGAGCTTTGTGTCTCGGACAGAAATGTTCTAAAGGCATTATAAAATTAGTTCTGACAAGTGCTGCGTGAGAACAGAGAAGGTGGGCCCTGATCTGCCCCTAGTTTGCAGCCAGCGGGTGGAAGCAGGGGAAGGCGGGGGCCGGGGGAATGCAGGACTGATGGAGGTGAGGGCGAGAGCCTCAGGGCCGGGAGAAGGGGTGACAAGGCACCAGAGCACCAGGCAGCAGAGCATCTGATGTTAGGCGAGGCCCAGGGAGAGGACTCAGAAACCATTAAGACGGGATCACCATTCCAGGCGGCAGGAGATGGCCCGTGGGGGTAGCTCCAGAAGTACGTGCCTTCGTAGAGTGGACAGCTCCCAGAGAGCCCCCACGGTGGGTGCTCAAAGAGGGTGATGAGGCCAGGTTAAGAAGGACCTTGAAGCTCTCTTAGAGTCACATTAAAACCGAGGTTGCCTGGCGGCCGCCCACGAAATAAATTGACCCTCAAAAATTGTTGAGCTTTTTAGAAAATACCAGGGTCTCGCTTACTTAAATCAAGAGAGTTCGTCCCCCAAATCTCAGTTTCTAGCTCATTTCTGCAAAGTCAAATCTGGCAACACTCGGCTGTTTCCTCCAACGCTCGGCTGTTTCCTCTCAGCCGCAGGGGGCCGGGGTGGGGAGGTGACTCAGTTTCGAAAGTCACTTAACCTGATCTTAACCTGTGGGTAGAAGCATTCATTTGGGTTTATCGCCTCTGGCCTCAGCAGGGTGTTGAGTTTGCAACCTTTGCTATAATGTGTGTCCCCGTATACAGCGTTTCTCCTGTATTTAAAGCAGGAGATGGTACCCCCGAATTCCCAATTCCTAGCTCGCTTTATTTTTAATATGTTCACAATTTTGTGCAACCCTCACCACTAATTCCAGGCTGTTTTCATCCCCCACAGTATTCCCACGTAGCGTTGGGACGTTCTGGACGTTTCCCTTACATGGACTCGTGCACCTAAAACACGTGGCCTTTTGTGTCTGGGTGTCTTCCCTTGGCCTAATGTTTGCAAGCTTCGCCCGCGTTGTAGCATTTATCAGGGCTTTGTTCCTTCATTCCTGAGTCGTACTGCGTCGTGGGTACAGCCTATTTTGTTCCCCTCCGTCCACCCAAGGCCAGGGTGCCGCCGTGAACATTCGCGCACAGGCTTTTGTTGGAATGCTTTCTCTCTGTTCTTCCGGTTGCAACTCACGGTTGCAGCTGCCCCGATTTACAATCCCACCAGCAGTGTCAGAGGGTTCCAGTGTCTCCACGTCCTTGCTGACACTTAACTTCCCGTCTTGAAACCATAATAGCCATCCTAGTGGATGTAAAGAGTTATCTCATTGTGGTTTTGATTTGTGTTTTCCTGGTGCCTGATGACGTCGCATATATTTTGATGTGCTTATTGGCCACTTGTAGATCTTCTTTGGAGGAATGTCTGTTGAAATCTTTTATTTTTTAATTGGTGCCTGTATTCGTTTCCCGGTGCCTGCTGTAACAAAATACCGCAAGCTGGGTGCTGTAAACGACAAAAATGGATTCTCTCGTGGTCCCAAAGGCTGGAAACCTGAGATCGAGATCATGATGTTGGAAGGTTCTAGGAAAGAACATGTTCTGGGCCTTTTTCTGAGCATCTGGCCGTTGTCACAATCACGACATTTTTTAGCTTATAGATATATCACTGGTGTCTGCCCATGTTGTCACGTAAAACTCTCCTTCCCTGTGTGTGTCTCTCTCTCTGTTTCTTCTGTTCTCACGCGAGGGTACCAATCATACTGGATTAGGACCCACCCTCATCCGGCATGATCATCTAAACTTGATGACATCTACAAAGGTCCTATTTGCAGGTAAGGTCACAGTTACAGACATCTGCTGTTAGGATTTCAGTGTATCTTTTTGGGGAACGCAGGTCAACCCATGAACCTTCCATTCCAAGTTTATTGGGTGTTGTTCGAATTCGTAACGTGCTTTTTTCTGAAGCTGTTGAGATGACCGCGTTTTCCTTCCCCTTCCTTTTGTGAATATGGCGTGTTGCAGTGATTGGTTTCCATACGTCCCACCACCATTTATCCCATTCCTGGGATAAATTCCACTTGGTCCTGGTGCACAATCCTTTTAATGAGCTACTACTGGGTTTGGTTTATTGGAATTCTACTGAAGATTTGAAGATTGGTGTCTTTGGTGTCTGAGTAATGCTGGCCTCATGGAAGGGTCCTACTTTTTTTATTTTTTATTTATTT